GCTGAGGGGCCCTCCCCTGTGCACAAATTTCGTGCACTGGGCCTCCAGTCCTATATAATAAAACCCTAATATGCAAATCAACCGAACAGCTGAACTGACTGGTCAATATGATGTGCACTGACCATCAGGGGGCACTCAATGCAAGAGCTGCCCCCTGATGGTCAGTGCACTTGCACAGGGGGAGCACCACTCAGCCAGAAGCTGGGCTCACAGCTGGCGAGCGCAGCAGCGGTGGCAGGAGCCTCTCCCACCTCCGCTGCAGGCAGGTGGTAAGGAGCAAGGGGTTCCCAACTGTGAGAACCCTGGACTGTGAGAGGGATGTCTGCCTGCTGGCTTCAGCCCGATTCCCCAGGGGATCGGACCTAAGTCAACAGATGGACATCTCCTCACGGGTCCTGGACTGCAAGAGGGCTCAGGCCAGGCTGAGGGCCCCCGCACCCCCCCCCAGTGCACGAATGTCGTGCACTGGGCCTCTAGTAGGAATATAAAAGCCTATCTTACCCTGGATAAAGCAGGGTAAGATAGGGCCAGAAAGTCAATTCTTTTTTAAAGAGAAGTTGAATCATTTTTAAAAAGATAAAAATGATGCATCAGAAGAATTGCTGAACATATAGCTCAGAAGATGACAGGCTGGTTAGCAAACTATATATGGCAAAATTCATATTCAAAGAGTCTGTGATTCTTTCTCTGGATCTTTCAATTAATAAATTCATGCCCTAACCGGTTTGGCTCAGTCCATAGAGTGTCAGCCTGTGAACCGAAGGGTCTTGGGTTCAATTCCAGTCAAAGGCACATGCTCATGTTACAGGCTCTATCCCCAGTAGGGGCTGTGTAGGAGGCAGCCAATCAAAGATTCTCTCTCATCACTGATGTTTCTAGCTCTCTCTCCCTCTCCCTTCCTCTCCAAAATCAATAAAAATATTTTTTTAAAAAAATAATAATAATGACTAAAAAAAATCCTAGCCAGTTGGTTTCAGTTGGTTGGAGCATCATCTCATGTACCAAAAAGGTTTCGGGTTTGATTCCCAGTCAGGTCACATACCTAGGTTGTGGGTCCAATCCCTGGTCAGGGCATGTACAGGAGGCAACTGATCAATGTTCCTCTCTCTCTACCCTCCCCCTTCCTCTCTCTAAAATCAATAAACATATCCTCAGGTGAAGAATTTTTTTTAATAATAATAATAATGACTAGAGAAAAATAATAAAGGCAGGTTTTTTCTTTCTACCTGCTCCTCCTGACCAGGGTTACTCTCCTTTCTATCTCATTATAGAAGAGAAGCAAAGCATGGTTTTCCCCTTTTAACTATAAAACTTTCTTTTAAACATTTTTTTTAATAATTAATAACATTAACTTCTGTAAAACATTTAGTATTTTGCTTTTAATTTCAGAAATTAGTACCACTTTTTCTCATAAAATTATTTATTTCAGCTACTGAATGTACCAAAATATCAGGATATCTCCCTATTGGTACTCATTTCAAAATAAAAAGCTGCTTCATTTATTTTTCCATTTATATATCATGCTAATGAATCTTGTACAGGCATCACTTTCTCTTATACTGTGTAAAATTCAGTCTGCCCTGAAAATTGCTTTTCGTTTCAAGTATTACATCAAGACATAGACAAACTACCTGAAGGTGCTCCAACCCAAGCCAGACCAAGAACGCCATCATCAAAATCTCGGTCAGTGAAGACATAGGCCAAACAGTAGTCATCGTGATTCTGCTCAGAATTCAATTCCAGAAACTTCTCCACACCAATATTTGGAAAACGAAAGGGATTTGTGGGGTCCTTCTCATCAGCAGTTGTATTGATCTAAAATTAAAAAAATAATTAATGTTTGCAGAGCCTTAGCCTAAGTCTCTATTCACTTCCTTCTGAATCCACCTGAACAATATGTTTGGGGCCCCTGGGAAATTAGGCTTCAATTAAGGCTTCTACGGTTGTACACACTACCTCCAAACCCCTTAGCTGATTTCAGAAGCCAAAAAGAAAAAAAGAAAGGCAAGGTGGAATGTGTTACATTTCTGAGCAAGTATTTAACAGATTCTTGAACACTTGGCATGGAAAAACAAGTTCTTATTTCTAATCAAGTTCAGTTTCTAAATTCAATCATCTGAGCAAATCTCTTTTAGTGCGAAATCTCCTATATACTAGTATGGTGACAAGTATGAGAACATAAAACCCTGTATTTCAGCTAATTACTAGAACATAAAACAAACTTGGATCTTCCTTACAAGTTCAATTTTTTCTCCTGAGTGTGGAAAAAAATTATATATATACATATATTTTACTGCCAATTCATTTCTCTTACTACTTCAGGCTGAGTTCCTCTAGAGTGTTTCTTTCTTTTTTTTTTTTTTTAAATATATTTTATTGATTTTTTACAGAGAGGAAGGGAGAGAG